TGTCTCTGACACTTTTATCACTTTCACACGTTTGGTCGAAAATTATTTTCGTACTTCTGTTCGTCGTGTCTTTACTGATGGTGGGGGTGAATTTCAAAAACTACGATCTTTTCTTCAAAATCAAGGTATATCTCACCTTCTTACTGCTCCTCACACCCCGGAGCATAATGGTTTAGCAGAACGCAAACATCGTCATGTTGTTGAAACAGGTCTTACCCTCATGCATTGTGCACATCTCCCCATCTCTTTTTGGTCTCACGCCTTTCAGTCAGCCGTATACCTTATCAACCGTCTTCCTTCTACCTCTCTCCATAATCAGACACCGTATTACACTCTTTTTAATGAATCTCCAAATTATTTTAAACTCAAAAGTTTTGGGTGTCTTTGTTATCCGTGGCTCCGCCCGTACACTCCTCATAAATTAGCCCCTCGTTCTCGACCATGTATTTTTCTTGGCTACTCCACGAACCAAAGTGCATATAAATGTTATGATCCAATTGATTGTCGTGTCTTTGTTTCTCGACATGTTCAGTTTGTCGAAACTACTTTTCTAGGTCTTCCCCCTAGTCCCGAACCCTCCTTATCTTCATTAGAGTGGCTTGCCTCCACCACTCCGACTGTGCAGCTTTTCCCTCTTTCGATTTCTATGGCGCCTCAACATCCCAGACAGCAAACTACTGACAAAGTCTCCTCTTCATCAACATCTCCGGCCACTGCTCCTTCTCCTGCTCGTACACAACCTACATCGTCATCCCCTTATTCTGCCTCCGAGAAGTCTGCCTCCCCACGGCCAACTCCTTCACCTGCTGCCCTACCACCGCCCTCAGCTCCACCTCAACGGATAATGACTCGCAGTCAACATGGCATTTTCAAGCCTAAACGGATGTTTACTGCTCAGGTATCCTCTCATTTTGAGCCTACCTCTGTTAAGCAGGCTCTTGCCGATCCTCGTTGGCGTGCCGCCATGCTAGAGGAGTTGTCCGCCCACACCTCTAATGTCACTTGGTCCTTAGTCCCTCCCGCTTCCACTCAAAACCTTGTTGGTTGTCGTTGGGTTTTTCGAATAAAGTACAAGGCAGATGGTACGGTTGATCGATATAAGGCTCGATTAGTGGCCAAGGGCTTCACTCAACGTCCAGGCATTGATTTTCATGCTACTTACAGCCCAGTTCTTAAACCTGTTACAGTTCGGACAGTGTTCCACATCGCCCTCTCTCATCAATGGCCTATCTTCCAGTTTGATGTCAATAATGCTTTTCTCCAAGGCTCTTTAGAGGAGGAAGTTTTCATGGCTCAACCACCAGGTTTTCGCAATACCAAGACCCCTGACCTTGTTTGTCGTCTCCATCGTCCTATCTACGGACTTCGACAGGCTCCCCGCTCGTGGTATTTATCATTGTGCAGTTTCCTTGAGAATAATGGCTTCGTCAAAACGCAGTCTGATGCGTCCTTGTTTGTCTATCATCATGCTGGGATCTTGCTCTACTTTCTTGTCTATGTTGATGATCTGCTTCTCACAGGGAACGATTCTACTTTGCTCACTCAGTTTCAAGAGCATCTGGCCTCTCGATTCTCATTAAAACAACTAGGCGAAGTGAATTATTTTTTGGGTATCGAAATCTCACCCGGTCCATCTGGTTTCCTCCTATCCCAACAGAAGTATATCTCTGATGTTCTTCATCGATTTCAAATGGCTGATGCTAAGCCTTCTCCGACTCCGCTCTCTACATCAGCCAAACTTATGCTTCAAGATGGCTCTCCCCCTGTTGATGCCACACTTTACAGGCAAGTGCTCGGTGCCCTTCAATACTTATTGTGCACTCGTCCTGATATCGCGTTTGCCGTCAACAAATTATCTCAGTTCATGCATGCACCGTCCCAACTTCATTGGCAGTCTGTCAAGCGACTCCTGAGGTATCTACAAGGTACTCGTCATCTTGGCTTACAGCTTAAGCGCTCCTCTTCAATTACCCTAGAAGCCTTTGCTGATTCTGATTGGGCCGGGGATCCTAATGATCGAACATCCACCATGGGTTATCTTATTTATCTTGGAGGTAATCTTGTTTCATGGAAGTCCAAGAAGCAACGTTCTGTTGCCCGCTCTAGCACCGAAGCTGAATATCGAGCTCTTGCCCATGCCTCTGCTGAACTTGAATGGTTGCAAAACCTATTAATTGAGCTGCATCATCGCTCTCCCAATCCTCCTGCCATCTATTGCGATAATCTTGGTGCAGTGAACTTCTCCGCTAATCCAGTTTTCCACTCCAGGATGAAGCATTTGGCATTAGACTTCCACTTTGTAAGGGAACTTGTGCAATCTGATCGCCTGCGCGTCTGCCATGTCTCTACCGTTCATCAGCTAGCCGATGCTCTCACTAAACCTCTTGCAACTCCACGTTATCTTCTTCTTCAATACAAGATTGGTGTCGTACCCGCCTCCATCTTGCGGGAGCGTGATAGAGATAATAATTTAGAATAGAACCCATACCATTCCATACCATTTTACAGAAGACCATGCCATCACACCATCACCATTATTTCCCTCTATGACTACTGCTCTAGCCAGCTACTCATCTTCAGAAGCTCATGTGATAGGCTTTACTCCCTTCTATCTTCTGCCAACTACCTATAATCATCTATTTCATTTTATTGAATGAATGTATGCATATATAGATAGCTTGCCCTTTTGTATCAAACACATAGATTCCATCAATACAAATCATTGTTCAATACATATCTCCACATCTAGGACTTTGTATATTGTATGTTAATATCAGTTTAGAAGGTTAAGTTGTTGTCTAGTTTGCTAAGAGATGTTTCTTCTTTTGTCTATCTGTCATTGCAAAGCACTTACAGTGATAGTCTTTGCAAACGAAAGACAACAATGTTTTGTAAGCTTGTCTTTAACTTATCCTTGTAAAGTGCAAACTCATATGACACTTATTAATGTACAAAAATACTTATGTTAATGCTTATTTCAGCATGCATTAGCATTTAGCAGTTACACAAACAATAGTAGTTACCAATTACAAAGACAGTTGCACTATGCAAAAATAGTCAAGAAAACTTACAAAGATAACCATCAACGTAACTATCATCTACTTCAACAATGACAACCATCAACAGTAGTACGCCATAATCTATCATCTATTGCAATTCCATAATCTATTCATTTAAGGATATTTTTCTACTTTGGCACTAAAGCCTAAAATACCACACAAGGAATTTCCACATTCTATGCCCTATCCAAACATGGATTTTTTTCTCAATTTCCATATGCCAATTACTAGGTTTTGAAAATTGTTGTCAATTTCTACGTTGTTAAATTTCCAAATCCAAACGACCCCTAGTGTATAAAACTTTGTTTGATGAATACATTGATTAAAGGTCAAGTTGTTTGGATTTATCCCAATTCAACCTTACTAGGAGACATACTCCTGCCCATGATTTCACATAACGTCAATAATTATCCTTTTATGTGAACGATTTTCCTCTATCACAAGATAGTTATGCAACTATGATATCAGTAGTAGCATGCTCAGTTGAAGAACTCGAGTACTCTATTGTTTGGTGATCCAGTCATTGTCTATGCGCAATTTCTCATCTTCCACAGAAACATCATCATTTATTCCTTGATTACCAATGCATGCTCAATATCTCAACGGCCATGCATTGGGTCTTAGAATGCAGACTATCATGCATGAGCTATTTCTCGTTGCCATGCACGAATAGTCTAGGTAGACAAACAAGATTAATGAATCATAAGCACGCACTCAAGTTCGCTACATTATTTCTAAACAAAGCGAATGGTACACATAGGTTCCCGCCTTGAAAAAGATGGAGTGTTTAGCACGACAGGGAGTGCATGACATGGCTTCTCCTATTATATAATGGGAAACTAAACTACTAGAGTTTAGGATAAAAATATGTCGTGCTTACAACAAAATGAAGATACTTTTGATCTTTTGGAAACCAAATGTCTTTACAATGAGACTGAAGCCGATGCATGGTTTTTTTTTATCCAAAGTTATTGGGCTATCTTCTCTACATGCCCATCTCTTGTCCATATATCATATATGGTGTCAAAGTTCTTAGTTGTTTTCATCCATACTCATGTGGACTTTTTGGGTATTATTTTGAAGACATCTCTAGGTAATGCCAAGTAGGTGGTTGCTAAATTAGACGACAACACATTAGTGACAATGAAATATGCAAAAACATTTAGCTTTTTCATTGCATGTTTTGTTCCTTTTTCTCTATATCATGGTTGTCAGGTCGGTGGAATGTCGATCATTGAAACTGTTATAGTCGGAGTTGGTTATGAAACCAGCTAGAATATCACTGATATGATCAACATGATAAATTTTCGTTGTTTAAACCAAATGACGAAATTAACACAACAAAATTCTGATTTATTTTATGAATTTAAAACTTAAATATTGATGTTATTTGTTGGATTCAAGTATAACATTTGGGCCTTGACGTTAAATGTTGTATTTAAATATGAATATTTATCATTTTATTAAATATAAACGTATATTATAAATAGTTTGTCTTCAAATATGCTTAATTTGATTTGATGTTAATGATGTTTTACATTTTTACATATTTTGTTAAACCAATATGAACCGAAATAAACCGATTATACTCTATTTACACTATACGACTTGGCACTTGCTAAACCGACACAACGATATAAACCGGTTTGGCATCCTTACTGTTTACACGGAGATCTCAACAACACGTTTCAAATTGTACGTGTTTACAAATTACCGTATACTAATAGTAGACTAGTAACACACTAAAAATCACTTGTGATATCATTCTATATTTTGAAAAATAGCTCTAATAAGAAGTTAGAATCAAGTACAAATTTCATCAAATAAGAAAATAAAAATCCCAACTACATAGAAAAAAACCTATTATCATTTCTGGTTTTTTATTTTTGCCTCTCTTCTCCAGTTAAGTATAAATATGAGCAGACGGACCGAGGAAGAAGAAAGCTTGAAGAAAGCAAAGAACTCTCTCTCTTGAGTCTTGAGCCTCTTCATCCTCAATCTTTCTCTTCTTATGTCCTTGGGTGCAAGCAATTTAAACTAATTTTCTTTTCTTTCCCCCTACTGAAACTTAAAACTACCAATTATAACGCCACATTCCATTCTCAAGATCATATCTCTTATGTTGTCCAAAAAAAAAAAAAAATCATATCTCTTAACCAAAAAAATAAAATAAAAAATAAATTTAGTCCCCCCTTCCTGCTTCATCTTCATCTACATCTTCATCTATCCAATTCATTTCAGTCTCCATCCCACCTATATAGTTCCCAATTCACGCCACAGACATCCCCCGCCCTCCTCGTTTCCCCCATTTCTTTGATTATTAAATTCCATTTCATTATTATTTAATTAATAAACCCAATTCTAGATTTCAAACAAGAGGGAAAGAGGAAGAAGAGGGCATGATTTGCAGAGGGAAGGAGAAAAATAATGAGCATGCCCTCTCAAATCTCGGTTCCCGTGCTTTCCCTGAGATTTGGCATCTGGGTTTTGCTCGAATCGGTTCGTTGTGTCTTCTCCTTCATCAATTCTGAATTGCCCAATCTCATTTCCGTTTTACCTTATTGGGTCTTCGTTTTTCAGGTTTGGTTGATTGATCGCGTACTTGTTTCTTTCTTTTAGTAGCATTCGGGGTAAGATATTGAATATCCCATGTCTCATTTCTTCGATCGCTTTTGCTTGATCTGATCATTCATCGTTTTGATGTGGTTCCCCCTTTTCTGGGTTTTGATTGGATCCAGGTAAAGTTTCAGAATTTCGGCAATACGAAATATAAAAAAAATATATATATATATATAATTTAAAGAAAGGGAAGATGCAAGCGTCATCGGAGAATGGGAAGCTATTCATCGGCGGGATATCGTGGGACACGAACGAAGACCGGCTCCGAGATTACTTTGGGTCGTTCGGAGAGGTCGTGGAAGCCGTGATAATGAAGGATCGAGCCACCGGTCGGGCCCGCGGATTCGGTTTCGTGGTCTTCGCCGATGGAGCTGTCGCTGAGCGAGTCACTCAGGAGAAACACAACATCGATGGAAGAATGGTTAGTTTCCTTGTTCTGTTTTTTCTCTCCTTCCCTTCCTAGTTTAGTGAACAAAACGTTAGTATCAGTGGCGAGTTTGATTGGTTGCAATGGCCGCTGGTGAACGAGTTGGCAAGGAGCTCATTGGATTAGTGACGCAAGAGCAATTGTTCATATGGGAGAATTTCATTGCCATGAGAATGTTTGATGTCAAAATGTACTGAAAACAAGGGTTTAAGTTCCTACAGGGAGAATCTTGTCTACGTTGTGATTGTACTTGGTTCGAGTTTGAATTAGATTAGTCATGCTAATGATCAGCGGAATGTTCATTGTTTATGAGAAGTTTAATTCTGGGATTTGCTGAAACCAAAAGTAATAGTGAAAGTTTGAGTGCAATGGTCTAATTCGTGTGAACTAGTTGAGAATAAGCTTTTTCTTGTTCTTCAACTATATATAGGTAGAGTTTATAGGGTGGGTGTGATCATAACTGACTTGACTGGAATCAGAATAGTGATCGAAGACTTGAATGCAAAATGATCGTCACCATGAAAAAGTCTGATTGGTATTTGCTGAGAAAAGTATTGGCATTTGGTGAAAGTTCAATTGCAAGCAATGCTCTGATCCCCGAGAATGAGTTGATAAGAAGCTATTTTTTGTGTTGTTTAAGTGTCTCTAGGTAGTGTTTTGTCCTTGATTGTTGATTAAAGAACATTGATTTTCGAATGGCACATTGATGTAATTTGACAATTTGATCAGGTGGAGGCAAAGAAGGCTGTTCCAAAGGATGATCAGAACATTCTGCACAGAACCACAAGTGGCATTATTCAATATGGTTCTCCAAGTCCAGGTCGAACCAGAAAAATCTTTGTAGGAGGATTAGCATCCACAGTCACAGAAGCTGATTTCCGTAACTACTTCGAGCAGTTTGGAACAATCACAGATGTGGTAGTTATGTATGATCACAACACGCAGAGGCCAAGAGGGTTCGGGTTCATAACATACGATTCGGAGGAAGCAGTTGACAAAGTCCTCCACTTGAAGACCTTCCATGAACTCAATGGGAAAATGGTCGAGGTCAAGAGAGCAGTCCCCAAGGAGCTATCTCCAGCTGGTCCAAGCCGTGGCACATCTCCACTAAACAACTATGGTCTTGGTAGGGTTAGTAGCAGCTTTCTTACTGGTTACAATCAAGGATATAACCCAGGAACAGTTGGGTATGGGCTTAGAATGGACCACGGAGGAAGGTTCAGTCCTGTTGTTGCAAGTCGAAGTGGGTATGGTCCCAATTTTGGTTCTGGTTACGGGATGGGTTTGAATTTTGAGCCAGGTTTGAGTCAAGCTGCATATGGAGGGAGTGGTGGGAACTTTAACGGCGGGTTCAGGGGGATGATGAATCATCACCCTTATTACATCGAGAGCACAAATAGATTCAGTAATCCAATAGGGTATGATAATGCAGGTAGTAATAATGGAGGAAATACTTCTTTCTTCAGCTCGGTTACTAGGAACATGTGGGGAAATGGAGGGATTACCAACTCTGCTGGTCTAGATGATGCTTATGTGGGTCATGGAAACACATTTGGCAACCGAAGTATAAATTGGGGTGATGAAGTCAACAACAATGCACCCAACAATAGTCTGAATTTCTCATATGGCGGTGGAGAGAACAGCTTTAGCTTGGGGCCTTCTACAGGGGGCTATGGAGGGGGAAGAAGCAGCAGTGGGAATAACAGTGTGATAAACCCTACTGCTTCATCGGGTGGTGGGTTTGATGGAGGATTGATAGCTGATCATCTCTACGTTGGAGGTGGTGGTGGTTCCGAAGATTATGGAGAACCCGCTTGGCGAGATGGGGGGCTTCCACTTGGCAGTAATAATACAACTTCAGATGTTGCAGTGAAAAGCCCTTCTCCTGGGTTTGTTGGTGGCTATAGTGTTAATAAAAGACAGACAACTAGAGGTAACAAACTAAGAACACCATTTGTTGAATAAAGATTTCTTCTTTATCGTCTTATGTTGGTGGGTTTCTAATGGGCTTCTTTTTACGGCGATCTTTTGGTTTGAATCAGGAATCGCTACCTAGGTGGATCAAGCTGTTGAAGCTGGTGGAAATTACTGAGTATTAGCACAGATTTTCCCCTACATTGATAAGTATATTTACCATGTTAGTTAAAGAAGGATTTACCATGGGGTTATTCTGGAGATGAACTGTGGAGTGCCCTGTCTCAAGAAGGAAGAGTTGGAAGTTTAAAAGCTTTAGGGATAATACATAGAAGAAGAAGTTATAAGGAAACTATTATGTTATTGTTTTGAGTGCTTTCTAGGGGTTTTCATCGTCATTCTTAGCATTGTTGGTTAATGAGTGAAATGTACATCAGCTTGCGGCAGCCATACAAAAAAAAAAAAAGAAGTATTGCTTTCATAGGTTTTCTTTTGTTCTTTATCGTTGGGTTTCCGTTAATGTCTCCTCTCTGTAGCATACCTGGCAGGTTTGTGGATTATTGTCAGGTATATTTTCCTCTATGCTGTATTCCTTATCCCCCTCGGATTGTTTGTATTGTTGAGCTTGGAGCTCTAGTGCAGCTAGAAAGTACAAAACTTGTCTGAAGGATACCCATCTAGGGTTCCTCATTAATAAAAATATTATTATTACCAGATTGCTTATATTTTTTATCCGTTCTCTTCCTCCACTTTTTTCTTACACAATATTCAAACAGAGAAGGCAATCCATTTGGGTCAAATTTTGATATGTTCATCCCTTTTAGCTATGGATTAGATCAGTCCTCCCTTTATCAGAGATGATCCTTTCTCTTCTCAACTTGTCTTCTTTAGACTTCTTGCAGAAGATCACCCAAGAATTGACCTCCAATGCAATGGATGCTCCTATCAATTCTCGAGGCGGGTCAAGGAGGTCAAAACCAATCAGGGCGGCCTTTACAACCTAAACCCCTAATGTGGGCTTCTAGAATATGCTGAAAGAACAAAAACTTAGATCTGGCAATCGGGTCGGGTGATTTCGGGTTGGGAACTTTGGTTACGGGTCGGGGTCATGTTTGGTTGGCTTATTTCGAGTCAAATATTGACCCAACCTATTTGGTTTCAGGTAGAGTTACAGGTCATTTCGGGTTATGAGCGTTCTCAGAAACAATATCAGACATGCTTTATATTTTCTTAAAGAACACAAATTTTCACATATGCATGACAATAGTTTACCTAACACATGTCAATTAACAAATTCTCAAATCCTCCCACGCCAATGTAATGAAATATAAATTGCGCAAATCGTCAAAAAACAATCACAAGAGTAATACTACTACAAGAAACACATGATACTTGATTATCCTTAAACTCCAAACATGTCATTCAAATCCTTGTGATTTTTTTTTAAATATCTCATCAATTTATGAGTGATTTTATCATATTTTGGGAGTAATATACTAAATGGAACGAGTCAAACGGGTCGACTCGCTAACTCACCCAACCCGGCCCAAAAAATCACGTGTTATCGGATTTTGGTCATTTGGATTTCGAGTTACAAAAATTTCTAGTTTTTGGGCGATTTCGGGTCGGGTCAACGAATTGGGTTGTAATTTGCCAGATTAAAAAACTTGACAGTTTCCAACATAATTTGGGTTGGTGAACTGACTTTCCTATGAGTTAAATATGGGTTGTTTTGTTGGCTGTGTCTTGTACCTTCTTTTTGCCGGTATATGAAGACTTTCAGTTACTCGATTGCTTGAATGGGGGAAAAGAATGTGGGAAGAGATAATCTCCCATTTCGGCAAGATAGGAGCGAATCACTTATGTTTTGATTTACCTGTGAAAACAATGCTTGGAAGTTTGGAAGATAAAGGGGGTGGGTGATCAAATTCTAACTCAACTTACTTTTCTACATCTATCTATTTGGCAGCAGATCCTCTTCATAATCTTATGATCAATAATCATGCATAATTTGATATATCAACGTCATATAATCATTTATGAAAGGCTTCTAACATTTTTTTCTCTAAATTTTAATGGCTATAACTCTTTCGTTTTAAGTCTTAATTTTTTTGCACAGATAAATCAGATTAATTATGTCATTCCAAATGATATACACTTTGATATATTAATGGAATAAAAATATTGAGACATTTAGTACCAATCAATACCATGGTGGTATTGTTTGGTATAACATAAGAGCATACCACGTGGTATGAACACACCAGACGGTAGAATGGTTGAATACATGATAGTATAAATATACTAACTGACATTTGCAACATTGTGTACCATAAGATACCACCCGTAACCAGGGTGGTATGATGAGGTATTTTTTGTCTCGTATTTTTTCATAGAAAATTATACATCCAATAGATCATGATTAATTCGTTCATTATGTGCAAAAATTTTCAAAATCGACTTAAAACGATGGTGATACTATATGGTATGGAGGTGGTAACAAGTGGTATGCAATTATTTTTGAAATATATTGAAATTGGATCTCATTTTTGTAGATTACAACAAATTTGTTCCATCTGTGCAAAAAAAATTAAAATCCTAGTTAGAACGAAGAAGATAAAAGCCGATTAAGAAAACTAGGGAAAATAAAAAGTTTTTAATTCCCAATTCTTCGGTATGGACTCTTCTAGACCCACCCTTCGATATGGACTCTTCTAGGCCCACTCTAAACTAAAGGTCCATATTTAGTTATGTATGCACAACCCATATATTTATAGTGAAAAATGGGAAAATTGCAATTCACATTTCAAACTTTGTGAACTGAGAGTGATTCTAGAAATGTCATTTCATAATTACGCCGAATTTATCTTTATATACTCAAAGATGTCATTATCGGGATTTGAACTTTGGTCACTTAACTGAAGGAAGAGGACTATAACCAACTAGGTTACACTGTATTTATTGTAATTTCTTTTATTAACTCTAAACACATATTTGTTGTTGACGCTGTCATATTTATATCTTACTTGGACTTATCTTTATCTTATAAAAGAGATTAATTCTGAAATCAAAAATCATGTAACATTGATTTGAACATTAAATATTAAATTGTATGTGTAGCTTAGTTTAGACAAAAAATACAGTTGTATAACCAAAACATGGACTTTGCTACAAACTCAATAATTTTTCTGTGACATATATAAAACAATACCATGACATTACATTTTTTGTGTTAACGTTCCAACTTAAATAAAAAAGAAAAAGAAACAAAGAAAACAATATATTTCTTAAGAAAAAAAGGAAAATTAAGATCAACAAATGAATTATCACATGATCTCTCCGTGCTACCCTTTTTACCTTTGTTTTCACGTATTCTCTATCTCTCATAGTCGATCCAAATCCAAATCTATGTCGGCTATCATATGTCAGCTCACTGGAGTTCAATTAAACATCTGAAAATGCCCTGTCGCTCGGGGAATGACGAAGACATAATAGCCTACTCTATACGGCGACCGAATCGACACTGACGAAACCCAAAACACAAAGCTAGTTGCACAAGCACCGTTTAATACATGTTAACATCGAAGTAAATGATTCATGAATATCATTCTATCCAGATATCCTAAAATTATATATCTTATCTCTCACCAGATTCAATTTCTTCATTTTGATATTTACACCCTATGTTATTTGGAAAAAATCCCAAGTTACACATGTTTTTAAAAAAAATTCTCAAAATACACATGTTATGAAAATAATTCCCAATCTACACATGTTTGGGCCTTCACCGCGTCAGAGAAGGGCGGTGATTGCTTCACCGCGTGAGAGCAAAACGGTGATTGCTTCACCGCGTGAGAGCAAAACGGTGACTGCTTCACCGTGGGAGAGCAAAACGGTGATTGCTTCACCGCGTGAGAGCAAAACGGTGAAGCACTGAACTGCGTCCAAACTTTAAAACAACGTAACTTTGTGCTCGGTTATCCGATCGTAGCGAATTTTTTTTTTATTCCGCATAATTTTTCGAGATCTTGCAAGCCGCAAACGCCGAAGGCGGTTTGGTCCCGCCTTCGTCTCAAAAAAATGTCGTTTGCTACCCCGAACGAGCCTTTTTTCGATTTCGTCAAACTTTGAACGACCATAACTTTGTGCTCCACAATCCAAAAATCATGAATTTTTTTTTGATTCCGCATAACTTTTTAAGGACTACAATTTTTAGTAGGAGAGAATTTTCAAAAAATGAATTATTTATGGATATAAGGGGTTTTGGGAATAACTTTACCTTCCCTTTTCAGGAATCCAAGTACATTCCGAAATTATGTCTATGATAAAAATTGTAGTCCTTAAAAAGTTATGCGAAATCAAAAAAAAATTCATGATTTTTGGATTGTGGAGCACAAAGTTATGGTCGTTCAAAGTTTGACGAAATCGAAAAAAGGCTCATTCGGGGTAGCAAACAACGTTTTTTCGGGACGGTGATGCTCAAAAATGTGTACTTTTGGAATTTTTTTTATAACTTATGTATTTTGGGAATTTTTTTTAAGAACTAGTGTACTTTGAGATTTTTTCCATGTTATTTTTGGTGATATTATATAAGGGAATCCTAACATAACTTCGAAATAATTGGAGGAAGGGAGAAAAAGACGAGGGTGTCAACGAGGAAGTAGCAGTGAACCGTTTGAAATCTTAGGACATCGGCTCAATTTGGGGGAACAAAAGAAAAGCTTCAATGTCACTTTGATTAGTTAAATTTTGACTGTTTTACAAGAAAAGGTTTAGCGATTGCTTGATTGGTTGGAAGAAAGAGAAGAAGAACGTATGATTGGAAGATTGAGTGGGGTGTTGAGTGAAAAGATAGGATAACATGTTTTTCGAGAGAACCATAACATATAAATAACAAATGGTTTCATTGAATTTAAGAATTTTGTGGATTTTATTTTAAGCGACGAGGATGGCGATGATGAAGACTTTCGTTGGAAGAAGAAGGAGAAGAGAAGTGAAAATAAAATAAAATAGGAAAAATAAAAAACTATTTTTTATATTTTACTAATAGGATGTAGCCAACAAGTGGTGTGACATGTCGATTTAGAGATAACGTGGGTGATGAAGTGACGTTTATCTCAACTTGACGTTACTTATTCTAATGACACATCGAAGATCGTTACATTTCTATAAAAATGGGTACATTTGTCCAAAAAACCTCATAAATATAGCTATATTTGACATTATTTCTACACAATATATAATAGTATAATGTGAAAATTGTTGGCTTATATCAAATTCCTAAAACCAGAATGAAAGTAGGAATACTATTTTTGATTTTACAATTATTAATTTATTTTTTATAGATAAATAGACAGGTATTTTGATTTAAACGATGATCCTTCAAATATATATAGAGGCATAACCAATTGCCTTAAACATATTTTTTTTTGTATCGGTCGAAATATACCGAACATATGATAATGGACTGATTAATGAAAGAAGAAGGCATTAGCATTAGAAAGACTACAGAGGCATTTTGAGCTGACCAATATTGTTGCCTTATTTCAAATTTTATGCAACGAGAATAAAAGCAGAAAGAGTATTTTGTCTTCCTATTATCTATTTCTTTATTTATTTTAGAAAAGTGACATCAGTATTGGGATTTGAACTATGATCTTTTGTAGACAAAGATTAATAAGAATCATAACCAATTAAACTAAATAGATTTGT